TATTTATTCAGCTGTCGCGTACCATCATTTCTTTCGGTTGCATCTTCACTTTTTTCAGGCTGGGTCGTGGTAAAGCGCTAGCTTAGCAAACGTAAAAAAATAGACTACTAAAATGCAAAATAATTGATGTAGATTTCGTTGAAAAACGTTGACAGGTAATAATATTAATCACAATATTTTTGGTAATAAGTACTTACAGTTTTATCAAATTTCAAACTGTACCAATATACAGTATGAAACCATTTATTTCGATGTAAAAGAAACCGATTGTCTCGAATGATAACATGTCGACTTATAATTATTTAACCTGACGTTTCCGGTTCGGTTATCTGAAGAAGTCGAGCAACCACTTGTTAAGCAGTGGGAAAGGAATAATTAGCTTTCTTCGCATACTGTTTTGTAATATTTTCAAAGCAACATAACTAACTTTATTAAAGACAATAAACACAAGATGTAACACGTAGAGAGAGGCATACATAATTACATTACAGCCGTATTTAAAATCTTGTATTATCATTACTAAAATTTAGACACACACAATAGAAATCTTTGCTGTTATAACGAACATTTTTCATTGAAAAATCGTCAAGTTTTCCTATGTGTTACATTTTGTCTCTCCTAATATATAACTATAATGATTACTATAAAATTTAACAGCATTCGTGGTAGCTCTCATATCAAAAATGACGTGTTGTAAAGTCACTCGCCGGCCAAGGGGAAGTTGACCACATTCAACATCGACATACTTCACAACTGACTCACGCTGTGAAAGTGTGCCTTGTTATGATAAATGCCCCTCCATTATTAGGGAATATTGTAAAGTTTTGTTTCTACTATCCGTCATCAAGTCGATGCTGTAAAGGGTTTTTTTGTACATCCCTTTGAGTAACACTTGTATGACTCATAGAAATAACTTTGAGATTATTCAGTAGATGTTTTATAACATAATCTTGTTACTAATCGTTTATTATTAATAGACAATTTATTAGATATTAAATAAAATTCTATTAAATAAAATGAGCTTATAAAATATAAACATCTGGATTTGTAAACCTCAATACAAATTCAGTGCGGCCAGTTTTAAGTTAAATGCAAAATTTTGACACTCAGCAAATATAAGTTCATGACATGTTGCGTTGTTGAAAGAAACTCCATACATGTTATAATATAAAAAATAACTGTTTTTTTTATGTTACTTTCTTCGCATTTACTAATTACCTCGTAGATATTAAGTAGATCCGCATTTATTCTGGTCAGGACCCAAATTTATCAATAGAATGCGAGTGCGCTTTGATCTTAGGTGAACTGAATAATGACGTTCGTTCTCATTTAGTAACGAATCTTTAATAAATAAGTGTTTACGAAATTAATGTACAATTAAATATCACGATGACATAGGTGCATTAACCTCCAGCTAAACGTATAAGCTCTTTGGCAATGTGGACACACTTAACTCGTCTCCTTCTTTTTATCTCCGGAAAGATAAGCGTATTGTGAAAAAAATTACTATTGTTATTTTCATTATATGTAAAAATCTCTTTAATAATATGAAACATCTGCTTACCACATTTTCTGCACTTCCACGTGTGCTGTACGCTCTATTCTACATTTTATAGTTCTTGGCGGGTTCTACTTACCACTATTGAAATATAAACAAAGCACGCCGTAGCTGTAAAAGAGAGAGATGGATGTACGTATACGCTTATAAGATAGAAAGGGAACGCATCGTGCCCACGTGAGTTTGTTAACAATAGATTACAAAAAAAACTAAACCTACCTGGAAGGTAGAGGCGCCCGCGTTTCCCGCCCCCACCGCTTGCCGCGCGTCTCACGTCAGTCTGCTCGAAAGCCTCCGCGGCGACGTTCGTTAACTATTCCAACTTTTAAGTTCGTTTTTTTAGTTTTCTTCTAATTAATAAATGGCAATTTGTCATTAGAAATTAATTAGTGTGATTAGAGTGATGGTTTAATTTGTGCGTGACGAAACCAGCCAGTTGTATTGTGTTTAACTGCAGGCATTAGTAACCACCTGTCGCTCGTCCCTACCTGCTCAGAGTTATCGCAACTGCTGTTCCCGCGCTAGCTTTTCGACCAAGAAATTAAAGTTTTATAATACAAGATTTTTGTTTTCATTAAAGGCACATTGTTCAGTGTACTAAGACGAGTGGAATTCAAATGAAAAGTTTCTTAATCGTACGTGTTTCGGATACATATTGCCTTTTAAGTTGTTTGCGGACACGACCACTGATAGATATGTATATTTAGTGTGCAGCCATTGTCTTCGATCACGACCGGTATGAAGATTGAATTCGAATGAGAAGCCGAAGCGAATTCGTTTAATTCGCTTCGCTGATCGCGTGATCGCGTTGAACTATGTGGACTAGTCGGTGAGATGATTAAATTTCGGTATAAGAAGAAGGAGGCAAGCGATGGCGGCAAGACCGGGACAGCGATACAGAAGCAGAAGATTGAGGGTCTGAGAGACCGTGAGCTGCTGCCACCCAAGGATATGATGCTAGTGGGGTCCTTGGCCGGTGTGCGGCACAACACGCTGCCGAGGTC